TGATTATGTATTCTTTAATATTCTACATGTCCACTTATAACAAATTCTAATTAATACATGATTTTTTCAAGAAGATTAGTTATATGAATTTGTATTCCAAATATACTTTGGGTAATTTTCTAAATTAAGCAAGGACTACTGTGAGTTATTGTGTGGACTTTTAAGTGATTCCAGGGAAATGCAGTTAGACAATGAAGAGTCCAGATGGAATATAAATGTACAATATATGTGCTTAAATAAAATAACATTTCTGACCACTGAAAAGTAACCAACATTAATTTCTTCTGCTAGATTTTGAATCTTAGAAATTATTTTTCAGAGATACATGTCATTTGTTTTCTGGTTTCTTGTAGTTGTTGGCATTGCAGTAATTTGCACCTGTTTGTACAAATGTCTTCGCAGAGAGAAGAAAGGGTAAATTAAAGCATGTTTCCTCTAATTTATTGGTCCTTCTCACTCTTGATATACTTTCGTGATGCTTTTTGTACTCTGTTTGCATGCCATCTATTTTTAAAATGTACTGTATTAGTGTGTCATGCGAATTACGTTTCCTTACTAAAAATATTTTCATCTGCTTTTAATATTATTGCAACAATGGTAATCTGTGCAGACTTGCTCCAGCTATTTTATATATATATATATATATATATATATATAACTGTAAGAAAATTTTTTGTGGGGTTTGAGGTTTAAGTTCTGCAGCAAATCATAGGTTATTATTATGGGGCCTTCCCTACCCTAGGTATATACTCTATTTCCTAAATTGGGCTAGTGGCCAGGATTGAATTTAAATGGTTCACTGTGGAGACTTTTTGACAGTTGTATTCACTGGAATTTTTAGGATGAAAGCTTCCATTTGTCTATATAACTTAGGTAATTAATAAGAAGCTTTGTAGGTGTCTCATTCAAATATCCAATTTGATTTCTTTTCATTTATAATTTTTATCTATATAAGTTAAACTGGGGCATTAGAAGCAACACTATGTGTTTTCCCTTTTATGTTCTCATAATTTACTGCAACTGATGGGTTAAATAAACTTAAAATTACTGAGAGGGGTAAGAATTACAGGCACCTAATAAACTTTATCTGCCTTTTTATCTATAAAAATGGAAAAAGGTAGGCTTAGAATAGAAAAAAAGTATACAAATACATATCTTCTAAGGAGAATAGGATTTTTAAAAATCAAACTTAAATTTGAATGAAAAATTTACAATTTAATGAAAGACAGAATAAATCCTGGGGCATAGACCAAAATTAGGTGATTTGGAATTTCTGATTTTTACTGAGTTTTTTCCTGTAGTTTTTAAAATACCTTTGAAATCAAAAATAAAATTTTAAGAATTTTGGTATTTATGGTTTTATGATGTTAATTTAAAAGTCAAAATGAGCCAACAAGTTTTTATTTGGGATCAAAGAATTGCAATTCTTGCTGCACAGATTCAGGCAGAAACCCATATAGTGTCCTGATTACAGGGTGAAGCCAAAGGGGTTTTATGAAAAATAGAAGGGAATAATTACATAAGAAGAAAAATTGCTACTGGCATTGACAAGCAGAGTGACTCTTTAGCTATGCATGATTGGCTACTGATTCTGTCTTCAGATAGAAAGCCCACAATTCTTATTCCTTAT